TATTATTGACACAATGTCATCCACGGTTATTGTCAATACCGGTGTACCCCTAGTCTGAACCAAATATCATGGCAATCTATCCAATTGCTGTAAGGATATTTCCCTAAAAACCACAAATGTCAAACTATTAGTGATGGGGATGGATAGAGAAAATAGAGAAAGATAAAAAGACAAAAAAGTGTGGGGATCACCAAAGTTGCTAAGATTCATCTTCTGAATGTCTGCACAAAGGTTTATGACAAAGGAGGAGCAACGTTGTGGTCTTTGTTCGAGGGTTTGAACCCCATGAAGCTACACTGATCTTTTGCTATCTCTGCGGTTGACATTAATTGTAATGTTTTAAGTTTTACGTATCATAGGCAAACATCCTGTGCTGTGTTGTCCACAATAAATTATCTTAGTGATAGAAAGAAGTCTGTAGTTTTTTTGAGGACACATGTTACTGGGAAATTCATTATCAAACACAATATAGTCAATTTCAAATTCCTACATAAGTAGGAACAGTAAACGCAACAATATTTAATGTGCAGTATCAATATTAATTGATAGTGCAAATATGAACATAATCACTGCCATCACAGATCCATGGAAACAGGAATCACTGCAGATGAAAAACAGGAAAAGGGAGAAAACTTTCACTCTCACATCTGGAGGCAAGCTACGATGGCAGATTGTAACTTCCTCATTCTTCACTTTTCTTTGTTAAGTGATTCAGAACCTTCATGTGTTGAGGTAATCTTTGGAAATATATGGAAGTGTAAAGAGGAGAGTAATTTGATTCAGAAAGAAAAAAGTTTAGTGAGATAGACATTGCCAGTTTATGCTCTTATCATGCTCTCGTAAGGTTTAATTGCATCATAACAATGATTTCTACCTCTGCATTAAAATTCTGCGGTAAATGACAGTTAAACCTGTAATGACAGCAGAATTTACTCTTTTTTTTTTCATTTAAGCAACAAACATCAAACATCTTAGATAATTAGATAAGACTGGCAGTTTGCATTGACTCCTCAGATATAACCATTGTGGTGAACACTGCCCCAGAAATGCAAAATAGAAACATTTAGAAGATGATTTTTCAAATGATAATGCCACGCAAGCATGCGTCATACCCGGCTGATGGCATGGAACAAAAAAATCCCATCCCATGCTTCGATATATAAGCTCAGCTTGCACCAGTTTAGAGGCACTAACTCAACGGCAAACGGACAAAAATCACACCATGTCTTTTGGTAAAGGTAAGCTGTTAAAATTAAATTATAATAAATTATTCAGGGTTTTTTTGCCCCTGAAAACTGTAAGAAACTAAGTAAAATCTCATCCTCCATCTGTAACAATGCGTTAGAGTTTCTTTGATAATTATGTAATGATTTTAAGAGTATATCAAATAAGTGTTTAGGGAAAAATTGAAACATTAACTGAAGTGAAGCTGCTTAAAATATGAAATGAGCTTTTAAGTAAAACTCCCTTAGAGTCTGTCATTCTCTCCAGATCTTGAGTTTTGACTCCGTGAAGCTAATTCCACTTAGACTTGAGGAAGCTTCTGGTTGTTCTGGTTGGTCATATTTTTTGTTCATAACTTCTTTCAGAGCTCCTGCTTTCCTGCATTGTTATGATGCACATCTCCTTCATGGCCTGCCAACAACTTGATGTAGGGAAGCTTCAGGACCAAATGAAGAATGTAGTGCTGGCTCTTTGTAATCTACAGAAGGCAGAGCGGATTTATGTAAGTAAACATATCATACTTTAAGTTCATAACATTTACAGTCCATTGAAAGTGATACTGAGGGACCCCAGTCCTGTTTTATTTTTATAATATTTCCATTTCATTTGATATGTATTCAGTGGCAAAAGCTAATCAATGTGACATAACAGAAAGGTATCACAAAGTCAAGCTGCCTCTTCACTGTAGATGGAGGTCTCTGAGCTCTGTACTCCATTGTTGACCTGATGCCTCTCGCTTCCTCTCCAGGTCAAACACATATTTCATGGATCACCACCAAAAAACTTAGAGCCTCTTGAGGGAATAACTGTTCCTGTGGGAAACACCATCAAGGAAATCCAGACTTCTACCCATGCCATCACCTGCTACCTCGACAAGCACCTGCCGACAATCATCAGGAATGTCACCACTGAGCAGCACCGGGAGGCTATCATGCACAACATCAAAGTGTTTCATAATCACTTCAAACTAGCGATTCAACAGGCAAGCAAAGGTCCACACAAAGCTGCTGATTCACAGGAATGCCACACAAATATAACAGCTTCACACATTTACAAAATGAAAACGAGTGGCCTCAAAATCATCCACTTTGCCAGGTCATGGGTAGAAGGTTTCACAAACATGACCCGCTCCTGTAGCCAAACTTTGGACAAATGATTTATTTATTGGTCTGTTATTTAAGGTTTTCTATATTTATTAGTATTTATTTTATATATATTGAAAGATGTGTTCCACATTTTCTGTCAGCTTTCTGTTTTGCTCCATTCTGACTGGATACTTTATGAATAGATACCTACTTTATGATTGTTTAAAATGTAACCTGCCAATAATAAAATATTTAATTCAAAGTACTGGAACTGTAATTTTACTGCAAAAACATAGTTTGAGACTCCTTATGTGGGAAAGTAAAAGAACACACTGTCGTGGGAATTTCAGGAAACAGAGGACTGACAACAGGAAAGTGGTCTTTCCAGTTTATTCTGACACTAGCAAGTGGATGTCTCAGCCAAGAGTGTTACTGACCAAGAGTGCAATGCATGTTTACTACAGACTGCTGAATGCACATACAGCAGTGTAGGTGCCACATGGTCTGTAGGCGTGATATAAATTGAGTTTTAGGACCCCCAAAGAAAGTATGAGGAATGTGCTGTCTTTTCCTAATACACACACGCACTCACTCACTTTACAAATATTATTTTTTTAGGATTTTAGAACAAATTTCCTGTTACAAACAGTACTGTGAATTTTTATGCCAAGTTGAGTTTTAAAGATTTAATCTGATTTTTTGTTTTGACTGTAGTGATGGGATGTGTAGGTTTCTCTGAACCAAAGGTTTAGAGGGAACTCCCAGAGTGTAAAACTGAACTTTCTATGTAATAGCCATACCAAAAACACGCAGGGGAAAATGTTGAGAGGACTAAACATTTTTGATCTTTATCTAAGGAGTCCTAATAAAAGTGATCCTCGAAAGATGGATCAGAGAAAGTGTCACATCAGAGCGTCTGCTGCTGACTAAAGCCTTCTGCTGTCATGGACTTCCGTGCTGGTAAGCGTCTTGAAGTGCGGCTCAGTCTTGCCACCACTATTTTTAAACCAGGCAGCCCCACAACTTCTGCGGGCAAACTTGCACAACACTGAAACTCTCCAGTGGTGCATCTCTCTCTCTCTCTCTCTCTCTCTCTCTGTGTATTCAAATCTAAGTAATCTCCACTGTGTGCTCTTTCATGTCACTGCTATAGTCCTCATCCTGTGCATGAGCATTGCACAAGCCGCCTGCAGATCTATTACAGATGGAGCAAAGAACGAGACCATTGATTTCCTCCAGAAGGAGATACGGACTGCTTTCCACAAACTTGTAAGCTTTCTGGTGCATAATTTGATGTGTTCACCTATAAGAACAGCTCATATTGATATGATTGTAACATGCAGGGGTGGGAAGCTGCGAGCTCATTTTTATTGTTACTGGAACACCACATGTATGCAAATGACTTTTGTTGATTTTGAATGATGTAGCCTACTCTACCAGGCCTACTTCTGGGGGGTAATAATTACAGTTTACAGTTATTCCGTTTAGGAACAAACAGAAGGGTAGTCTAGTGGGTCTACCTATTATACGTTTCCATTAGGCCTAATCTGCTTTTTTTTAAACAAAAAAATGTAACCACTCTTTAGAGCAAGGGTAAATAGAAGGGAGCTTAGTTTTAGGGTGTATTCAGAGGCTACTGAAGTGGTAACCTTCATTGACGTAAGGAGCGTTATAATCAGTGGTGGAAGAAGTAGTCAGATTATTTACTTTAGTAAAAGCAGCACTACAATATGAAATTCTCTAGTACAAAAGTAGCTATTGCATTCAAAATGTTCCTTAAGTAAAAGTACAGAAGTGTTGGCAAAAACCATTATGCAGAATGGCCTCTGCCAGTGTTATAGGGTGTTACTGTTTGATCATTGTAGGCTACTGTGACGTTGTAGCAATGTTTAACTGCTTCATATATATTGGATGGATTAATCAAAACGAATCATATTTAACGATTTTTTTCATGTAAAATCTCACGTAAATTTAGTCGGGTAAAAAAGTGAGATACAATTTTTAAGTAACATAAAATGAAAATACTCAGGTAAAGTATCGTCCGAAATTGCGTCCAAGTAGGTTACAATGCTCGACTAAAAGTATCGCATGTAGTTAAGACTCCTCCTCTGTTGTGAACACCTGCTGATCATCTCGTCTCCTGCAGCGTGCGTCCGAGCTGCTTCCCAACAACTCCTGCCTTTCCCTGGACGTCACGCAGCTGGTGGGACCGGAGCGGCAGCCCTTCATCGCTCAGCACCTCAGCCCCTTCCTCTGCTACATGGTGAAGCTGTCCCCGCTGACCCCGAACCTGTCGGATGAGCTGATGAATATCAGCCAGTACATCCAGGATGCGACGAGCGGCCACGCAGCTCTCCAAGACTGCAGCCTGCCGAAGTTTGAGCAGGACATGAACAGATACACGTTTCTCCACTGTCTGCTGATCCTCCTAGACGAGCGGCTCAGTAAAGCAAAGATTTGATTTCACTGCATAGTATGAATGATGTATTTATTTATTTAACAAAGCCTTGAATTGTTGAAAAAATACTTTTTATAGTCAAGTTTAATATGAATGAGAAATTAAACTTCTAAAGTTCTTATCCGCTTATCATCAGTATCTGATGACAAAGTAATATTTATTAAAAACCAAGTGATATTTATTGAGAATAAAGAAGTCAAACTTTCCATTTTTGTTGCTTTTTTTGTTGCTTTTATTGTGATTCAGAATTATTTGAAAGGCATTGTTTGGAAACACCGAAAAAAACACACACATATGCAGCATAAGAAAATATCTTTACTTATTAAAACAAATGAAATACAATACTAAATTTGGAGAGAACCAATCTGCAATGATATACTGTACATCATCCCATACAAAACCAACTCACAGAAACAGCAAACTGAAGTTGGATATCCAACCTGGTATGACAAAACACTTTAAAATAATTGGTTGATTAAAAAAAAAAAAACACCACTCAAATGCCAAGCTGCAAAGAAACATTTGGTGCTCTTTGTTATATAGTATTAAATAATGTCTTCATTCTTGGTTTGAAGGGGAGACAACAATCACAGAAAAGTCAAAAACAAATATTTTCATTTTCAATCATGACAACCATAGTTGCATTCAGAGGTGCATTTTTATTTTCTTACAGTAGTAATAAATATTTTTGGGCAAACGTGAGCTAAAATTGGGTTTGCAACACTGTAAATAGGCTGCAGAGTTGTGCACTGTTAAAGTGCTGAATTTTGATGACTGCTTTCTCCGTGTGACTAGAAACTGAGCAGCCTGTACATCAACAGGTAAATGGTGAAAGATGTTTACCTTACAGAAAAGGAAAATGTCCCATCAAAAGTCACTTGGAATCCACAATAAAAGACTGCAAACAAAAAGCTGCACATTCATCAAATAAAAGTGGTGCCTTCTGATACTGTACAACTCAAGAGTAAACTAAGTTGCTCTGCAGAAAATAAAATAAAAACACAAGTCAGAAAACCTACGTCTGCCTGAGGAGTGCTGAACCACAGAAGAAAAAAAAAGAAAAAAAAAAAGAGACAAATCAGCCTGCAGCGATCACAGGTAAGGGCACTTTGACCTTAAGGCTGACACATGTGACACTCTTAGATAGAGCAAAGTGCTCTATCAAATATGATATCAGTAACACAACAAATTAATTGAATGGATGGGTAAACTACACGTGGCTTTTCTTTCTTGATGTGGCAGACTAATTGTTTTCTCCTGTGTCTGCCATTAACACAAATTAGAAATTAGTGTAACTATAAAGAGGGAAAAAAAAGAAAACACATCGGCGAACCAATCCATGTGATGTGACCTGTACCCTTACAGAAAAATGTGCCTTCCTGCTGAGGAAGATCCTGACTTGATTTGTTCATAGCTGAATGGAAAATAATTACGCACACTAGCTCAGCCCTGAGTGACCAACGAAGAACAGAAAAGACAGCTACTGTGCATTGAGATAAGATCTTGGAATACTGTACATGTGAAGATAGTATATTTATAGTCTGTACTGCTATTTCAGCTATGCTCCCTATGAGGGCTGTAAGTAATATTGCTCCATTATGCTGTGACCTGCCCAGTATGTAAAGTGTAATAAACCCACGTATGTAAAGTGACTGTTTTCTTATGTAATTTGCACTAAAAATGGGCAGAGCAAGCAATGTATGAAGGAAGTAGTTCAGCATGGACGGAAAACCACCAGGAAACCACTAATGTTAACTGGCAAAACAACATTCACCTGAGTAAATGAGGGATGGAAAAGATGCTAAAGCTCTCATCTCTCTGGTATTGATTAGGTATAGAGAAGTCCACGAGTGATCAACTTGGCCATGTTTCAGGCAATCCCCTACATTCTGGTGTGAAGCCTCTCTGGGAGGTTTCAGAGCCTCCAAATGACACACACTGTACTGCCAACGGTTCCTTAAAAAACCCACATTCATCTGCTCCCCTTGTGAAAAAAACATCATATCCATTTACTTACTATACATCTGAGAGAGAACACGAAACGAACAATCACTCAATATTTCCCTTTTTAACACAATGTTGTTTGTACATTATAAAAGTAATTTAAATTTAAATATATATTGTTGTTCAAAAAGCAAACCACAAGTACCATCTTCCAATAAGTACTTAGAAGATCTTCACCTCAAGTAGGTGAAGGTAGTAGTAGTTGTTGCTGTCGTTCAAATATAATACGATAAAAGGCCATTTCTGCACAATTGTTATAAATGTACTGTCAAAGGGCTGAGCTCCCTGTGTGCATCATCCCCAAGCATCAATGTGCAACAGAACAAATGTATGACCATCGAACATACGCAGTGAAAGTAAGCCAGACCTAGCCTGCATTTATCATTTCACTTATTTTTCAAGGAGGTCGAGGATCTGCGGAAGACGTGGTGACCTAGCTGAGTAGCTGTAAGTTAAAGTAGTGATATGCCGCTTTGGTGATTGCTGGTAAAAGGTTCAGGTGGCTTTTAGGTCACCTCACCTCCTCTGAGAGCAGGCTACACATCTGTGTGTGTAACAGCCTGGATGGCTTCTTCAGGCAGCAGGGATGGATCACTAAGAATGGACGTTGTTGTGCTCAGCTGGCGAAGGGTACTCAGCACCACTGAAAGACAATGAATCACAATTTAATAATCATATAACCTGACTGTAAAACGCAGCATTTTGAAGCCAACTGTCTTGCTATATAGCCTTACAGAGTGATACATAGTAGGCATGCACTTTCACAATTTTCCACGTTGCTTGTGATCTGGCAGCTAGGTACAACAACTCAACTACTTGTAATGACTGGGTGGGAGCCAAGGCTTGGGGACCTACTGTGACATTGCCATAGTCAAGGGGGTATTTAAAAACAGGCCCTGAAAGAAAACTTGAAAGAAAAACAGTTGCAAAACCAGCTGTTAACATCTTATTGATCTATCTTTTTTTTATTATGGTCTTTATTGCATGAAACCTGCATCAATAGATTTTGTTGGTCACTTAGGGGCACTGCAACAGAGTGAACTTGTTATCAAATGGTGGTGGGCCTAATTATAATCCAGCAGAGCAGGTTGTCTAATGCACAACATTAGGAATTGTCTGCAGTTATGTTTCTGGTATTGGGCAGGTAGTGTATAGTGGATTTATCAGAGTTTTTTTGTCTGCTGCAGCTGGAAATGGCCTTAATAAAAACACTGAGATTATCAGGGTACTATGTGTAAAAAGCTGCATTTTGATCAAGTTAATCAAACTGAAAATTTCATGGTGGCACATGACTAGTTACACCGCAAAACTGAGACAACAAAACAAAAACAATCTTACTGTCCTTGAACTGAGCTTTCAGTTCAAGGACAAAAGTTCAGGTGCTTCTTGCTGCAAGAAAAGCTAAGTTTAATGGGACCTGCAAGGCTGCTGACATTCAGCTGGATTTTGTTGCACATTAAAAACTTCTTTTAGGAAAGTGTTAATGTACAACAACATTTTATGTTCAGCTTTTTTGAGGGGCACTGTCGGCAAACTCGTCATTTACAAGGATTTTTTCATGACTGATGCATTAAACACTCCCAGGTTTTCCAGGATGTATAAGAACCTTGTGTATCATGCTAAAAACAATGACTCAGGGAAATGTTATAAATGGTCATAAAATTGATTACAGGACACTGACAGACGTGAATCATTAAATTTGAGGGGACAGCCCCACTAGACATGGAATAAAAAGCTGGAGCGATAACAGTCTTAATTTTCTGCCGCGACACAGGCCCAGCCGCCAGTGAGCAGCTAAAACCATGACTGAATGAGAAGTCTTTTGACGTCACCTTCCATTATCAGACTCACTTAGTGTAACCGCTTAAGTCGGACTCAGGAACAAAAACATATTATTTAGTGTGGGAGGTAAGAAGATTGGATGAAGATCGGAAAATGTGATCGTCACTGTTGGAGTGATTGTTAGCATTATTAAAAATGAGACACTCTGCTAAATTTCCTGTCATGTCATGGCTGCTTGATAGCAGAAGGCAGGAAAAAACAGAGATAGTGACAGATAGGACGCAGATAATCAGGTGAAACTGAATTACACAAAGTAGTGATCTAACACTATGCAGCTGGAAGAAAGTCCCCTCTGAGCTGTGAATGAGCCACAACTATCAATCCTTTTTAGTTGCAACTATAGAATAGTTGGCTGATGATGTATAGTACCTTTGTGTGTCTTTTACTTACTAGGTCTGAGCACCGGAAGGGAACAGTGACGATCAAGCCATTGCAATGTGGTCTGACATAGCTCTGCCCTGCTTGTAGTTGACACCATCCCATTGAATGACTCAAAGAGAGGCTTGATAATGATGCTGAACTAGAATTGATAGTGGTCAAGGGTTAATTATAATACAGACTGAGACAAATGCAATTCTGCCTGACTGACTATTTGAGCACTGGACTATAACGTGTGCTTCTGTAGCTCTTGTTTTTATCATTTCATGCATCATTTTGTGGTTCGCTCAAACTGAAAAGTATGTAACTAATAACACATTTCTTGTTAGTTCAAGTATGACTCAGGGATTACTTTGAGACACTTGGTAATCAAATACATTTATAAATGAAAGCAATTCTAGAAATGCAGTCTTTGCAATGGATTTACAGCACACTGTATATACTGCCACCAGATAAATGTTGGGTAATTCTGCCTGAAATCAAGTTTGTCTGCTTTCCTAGGTGATTTGGTAGATAACAACCAAAAGCTTCTCCTTCAAAAATACAGTGTGGATATTTTCACAGTGAATTTCTGGTTATTTGTATTATTCATTTAAATCCTTTAGGCACTGTGGCCACCGAGTAAAGTTTAAATAAGTCTGTCTTTGTAGCCTGGTGTAACAACAGCGTGGCTTTCCTCAAGAGTTACTGGAAGACTTTAAAATGTTTCCATTGTGTAACCCTTGGTTTCCATTGGGTCTACCCTTGAGAATATATGACACAGGACCTAATCGTTAAGATAAGTATCAGTCTGATTTGAACAGGGTGACTCTCAGACATAAAAGCGTTCAACGTCAAAGCAAAATGCTGACACCATACTCTGAGTTGTTAAATAGTAGAAAAACATTGTAAGGGCTGTTTTGTTGAAGGATACAATCCAGAACTTCCAATCCTGAAGCGTGCGGCTCTTTACATATTCATTGAACTTCTCTTGCATGTGGTTGAAGCGATGCCGCCTGATGGGCACCCCTGTCTCAGGCAGCTGTTCCTGACACAAGCTGTGATAAAACAGTGACAGGAGACAGCAAGAGTTGAGAGTTTTGTATATCATGAGGGGTGAAATATATATTTTGTTGTAACATACTTAATGGACGTGTTGAGCTCCTCTATCTCCTCTCGTAGTCTCTTAACCTCTTCCTGCAACTGCTGCCTCTCCTGTTGCAGCTTCCCAATGTGCTCCACTGTCTTCTGCAATGTGACTGCATTACTGCTCTACATGCACAAAGTTAATGTATATGGTAGAAAGTGAGAAAGCAAATTAAATATGTACAACAATATGTGAAGCAGATACTGTGCATAGACATTGCTCTGAATCTATTGTGGATGTTTTATGAAGAGTACACAGACTTACATTTGATTGTGACTTTAGAGTGGGAACCAGGTTGCAGAGTGTTTTAAAGCCAATTTTTATGTTTGATCGTCTCTTTTGCTCAGCAGATATGTGTGTTGTCCTCCGGTTCTGTCACACAAAAGCAGTGGAAATATTACACACCGACTTACTGAAAGTGTGAAATATATAACACAGGAAAAGGGGAGATGCTACTGATGTTATGAAAAGGGTGATTAATGAGTCCAGGCATTAGATTCAGTCTATATTACTTTATTTTTTTTTTATCATTGAGATTTAAGGCTTTCCAACTACAGGCCTTAACATATAAAGTGCCATTTCATTTTCATTGAAAACATTTTCAAGGATTGCCCAAGCCTGTGAAAACTCAAATGTTACTCAAGTAATATTATACTCACAAAATGAACCATATTATATATCAAATTATGTTTCTTATATATAATATTAAGAAACATAAACAAACACAAACCTGTTCATTCTTTACCAGAGATGTACTGCTGCTGATGAGTGACTGGGGACTGGGAACTTGATCTAACACACACGTTGTCCCTTGACCCGAACCTGGCTGACTGTGAACTGAAAAGAAAAAACAAACAAGCAAAAACAGACCTTTTAAGATGTGCTGGGTTTGGAGATATGATGTGCTGTCTGGGTAGACTGAATTCTCACCAACACTCGAGGTTGCTTTCAGATTTTTACGGCTGGAAGAATAAGACTTTTCTTTGGGGACGATCGGCTGGGGAGATTTCTGCGTCTGAGACACAACGTGAAATCCAGGAGCCTGAGATTCATGAAAAGACAACAAATAGACAAGACATAAAAAAGATGTTTGACTAAGAACCACGACAATAAAATATGATGTTTTACTTTGTATCTTGACCATCTGAATTGTAAGAAAATCAAAGTTTAATTTCACATTTATGAGTTTCACACATCAGAGCAATGAAATCTAAACGCTGCAGTTTTCTACTGACTAATTTCAAGAAGAAAATTAAACAGTGAGGATGACACTGACAGAGCTGAAAGCATACCCCTCTAATATGAGATGAAGTGATGACCACTCCAGTATTAGGGACCACATCTGCTTTCAGAGGTGTGGGTGTAACAATCACAGCATTGGCGTGACCTGGGAAAGGGGCTGAGGATGAACATTGAAAATAAGGCACAACAGTGTTAGTTTTGTGTGCATTCACACATGAAAACATCCAAAAATGATCATCACATTTTTCCATTTGTCTAGGACAAAACATCATTTTCTGCACTGAGGCGAAAAAGCGCACAATTAAATATCTTCAAACTGAATTTTACAAAGATAAGCAGTTCTATGAGAACCAGGGGCCACCCTTGTGGTCTTGGGGTTGGGGTACCAACCGTTGACCCCAACCCCAAATTTGTTTGCTAAAGAGATTATTTTCTCACTTTATCCAAATACCAATACTGTTCCATCTGAAATCACTATCAATGTAAATAATTATGACTGAATAAGGAAGGTTTCAGCGCTATCTTGTGGTAATGAAGTTAAAGTGACACGGCTCCACTGCCAGATCAACAATGTTAAAATGCACAATTTCTCCAAACAACACACCTGTGAGGATGAGGTGGGATGGGGGGAGAGTGTTTGCAGGAGCAATCCTTTGCACAGGGCGGTTTTTGTTGGCACTGGATGACAAAAAAGGGCGAGGCATGGCAAAAGTCTGAGGGTGCTGTACAGGAGTGGCAGGCAATGGAGCCATGGGTTGGAGTTGGGACGGAGGAGGTGGAGGCTGTGTGGATATGGAGCCATACTCTGAGCCATGGCTGAAGGTGGTTGCTGCGTCGCTGGCTGTGACAGTAGAGGAGGCTGTGTGTGTAATCACAGACGGTGCTACACTCTCATCCAGCGCAGAGGTGTTGTCCAAGGGTGAGGGAACCATGGGTGCTGCTGAGGCCATGTCCTGACCTGGTAGGCAGGGTACCAGAGGATCATGGGATAATGTCTGAGAGACTGAGGAAACCCCTGCTTGATCACTGGGTGCCACCTGCCCAGGAAACAGAGTCATGTAGTTTTGAACATAGGGAGCATTGCCACCACCACCACCTGTTCGACTGGTTTGACTGACCATGGGAGAGGGGATGGGCAGGGGTCCAGGAGGGGAGATATGGTTGGTTGTGAGTTGCATGGCGGACATTAACTGGGCCTGGCAAGGAATAACAAAGGAAAAGGGAACAAACACACTTAGTCCTTTCTTATAGTTCAATATGATGTCGAAGAGATGCAGTTCTATGTGAACTCACATTAAGTGTAAATTTTCTCTTCTTTGTGCTGGTAAGATCATGACAGTAAAAGGGCTCTCATACTATACAGTATAAACTTTTTATAAGTTTTATTTACTTTTCAGCAATGACAATGTCAGAAGTGGATTTGTTATTTATTCAAATATTAATGAATAATTGACTTTCCTGGCTGTAAGACGCTGTAACTTAATTTTCACATCTGCAACCAACTTGCACTAGTTTTCTGCAAGTTCAAGTCTAGACAAAGACTGTGACAGAATTGTGGATAATTAAGCTGCATTTATATCTGTCTCAGGAAGATGAAAAATTTATATATTTTATGTGGTAGGGACATAAGATGCAAGTTCCTGCATTGGCCTCCAGCGAATCCAAGAATAGATTTTAACATTTGTTTAAAAGCCTGGCCATGAACCAGCCCTACAATGCTGCCAAAACATGTCTTTGGCATGGCTCTTACATAATCAATCACTAGCATCTTTCTGTACCTGAAGGGTAAAAACTGTTAAAACTGCATTTATGACCCCAACACAAACTCTGGAACATACTTTCATAAAATTTGACTAAATAAATTACTTCTGTGGGAGCTTCAAAATTACAGCATGAAATAGAAGCAAAAATATTTAGTCATATTTTGAATGAGTGTTTTATTCTCGCAAGAATCTAAATTTGATGTTAAGCAGTTTTGAGCAGCAATTCATGTATGAAAGTGCTACATAAATAAGTTTAGTGATATTATTATGTTACATAGATTTTTGTAACTACATTAAGACAGGAAGATGGTAGCACATGTGGTAGAAATCCTCATAACTTGTCAAAAAAAAAAAAAAATCCCTACATTTTTTATTGAAAAAATAACACACTTCTTGCACAAACTCTCATCATGGTGGTGTGTGTTAGGGATTGTGACATGGGTTGGTGTTTACCTGTGACTGAGAGCTGCTGCTGGATAGAGGGGTGACAGATGATGCAGTGGGGGAAACAGAGGGGAAGACGGGCTGACGGAGGCTGTGAAATAAGTCTGCAACAAGAGTCTCTATGTTAGCTAGAGGTTAGTAAAATCACACTACTTTTTGTGTTAGGCTAAGCCAACTGCTGTAGCAGAGTTACAAGAACATGTGCTTGATTCCTGTAGAGTGTGCATCATTAGTGTGTGTGCAGTACTGCTGCAGCTATGGGTGGTGTCTTACTGCTACCTTGCAGTGGATCAAAAGAGTCCATGAAGTCTAGGTTGGGTTGTAAGGGGATGAGTCCTGGTTGGATCATGTCTGCATTCCCTGCATGAGCTGACAGGTTAAGAGACAGAGGTAGGGAGAGCAGGGGAAGACGTGCCAGTGTTTTGACAGATAAATAACATATTGTTGAGATCGAGCCCCCAGCTGTTTGTTAAAAAAACTCAAATGTAGAGAAAAAAAAAAAAAGAATAAAAGTAGGAGCTTAGATACAATTCAACTATTAAATCAGGTAGTGAGTGAGTAGGAAAATCCTAAAAATCAAATTTGGATGTTTTTACTGATTTCATAAAACAGACAGCACATGATTTTCTCACCAATCTCCCTTGGATTGGGCCAGGCTATGGGCTGGTGCGAGGCCAACGTAGAGAACAACGTGTCTGAAAACTCAGACATCAGAACATCCATGTCAAAGAGGGTGTCCATCTCCATAGGCGCAGGTGTTTCATTATGCTTACGAGGCAGACGGCGTGCAGCAGTCTCTTCATCCTGATAAAAGGAGACACGGAGCATGTCTGGAGAGACTTCCCCAAACAGCGATAACTGCTCCTCTGGCCCCTTTGAGTATTCAAAAGGCAACCACCAAGCCAGTTAGTAACACACAAGCATGCAGTGTAGAGTACAGCCAACATGGAAAGGCACTGAAGTAATTCCAACACTTTGTCTCTACAGTTCACACATTACTCTTAAAAAACTATTTATATATGTGTGTATATAATTTATGTATATGTGTGTGTGTGTGTGTGTGTGTATATATATATATATATATATATATATATATATATACAGATATATTCATTCATTGTGTCTGTCAGCAAGTTATGCGGTAAATTAGGTGCAAGCAGGCAACAGTACTTTGTTCAAACGCATATCAATAATATGAAGGTGACTGGGTTAGCATGGGTTATTTCCATTAGTATCAACATCTGGTTGAACAGATACTGATACAGATACTGATCGTAATGGTCATGTTGACACTAAAAGGGCTGATGGGTTGGGCATGATGCAGTTTTGCATACCTTAAGCAAGCTTGACAGGTCATCATCCTTGTGCTTCTGTAACTATAAAAGAGTTGTGAGTGCCATATTAGATCAATATTTATGTTGTACAACCACTCAAACAAAAAGGATACATCTACAAAAAGCTAAGTACCCCCATGACAAAAACTAAAATATTACAATGTGTATATTAAAAACTGAGCAATACAGTACCCTTTTCTTGAAGTATGTTCTCCATTTGTGATATTCTCTTATGACGATTTCAATTCTTCTTTTCCAGCATTTCCCCTCTGCGGCAGTGGCCTGCAGAAGAATGAGGGAGATGTGAACTAAAAGTCCATAACAAACACTCAGCACAATTAAAAGGAAGTGACAAGGGAAACATAAAACTAAATGACAAAAAAGGTTTGAGAGACTAAACAAAGAATGATGCACAGGAGGATTTTGGTGACAAGACAACAGTCACTGTTGTTGTTTGTACATCACATAATGACCCCATTTTTCAATATTTACCTCTGCAGGACGATGGACATCCAAGTCCATGCTACCATCGAGGGGAGTCACAAAGTGACAAACAGGATTCTCCCTTTTCTCCACATCTGGGGGTAGAAAAAAATAACCCAGATGACATTTTTCATCCTGGTCAATGACCACATCATGCATACAGACTGCAGCTTCACCAGGCCCTGTGAAGGGTCACATATCATGAAAAGCTTGACCAAGCTTGTGTTTTATTTTTGTGACAGTAATGAGAGTTGCTATTAGTCGCTTTTACAAGACTGCTCATGGCATGTGAACAAACCGTTACTACTGCAGCAAATGGTAAAGACTGTGCCAATATTTATTTTAGAAATTATGGCACGTGTGAACTGAGAGGATAAATAAAAGCCTGGTGGCAGCTGGAGTCCTGAAGAAGGTAATATTTGCAGAGGACTACATCAGAGTTATGACCATACAGCCCTCTACCCCTCCTTCAGACAACAGACACTTCAGTTCCTGCTGCAGCTTGATGGAAATTTGAGTGCTAAATTCAAGTCACTTTAAACTAAACACTAAATAATACAGTCTATACTGTGGATATCAAATGAATGAGACAATATAGAACCCTTACACTGCATATACCAGGCTCTCCATATGGCATTGTTGAGGCGGATCTTGTCTCTCCAAAGCAGCTTGAGACCTTTGAAGTTCTTCCATTTGGGAGATACCAACTTACCACTGAGAGGACAAGAAAAATAACAATGAAACAACTTCACAAATGAGAGAGATGTGACATTCTATATTGCAAATGTGTTGGCTTAACAAGTGTATCATAAGTGTCTCGACAAGTCAACAATTACCAAAACCCTCAAAGATCATAGTCTTCTCCTTTGCATTATCATCAGAAGAGGGCCTTTGCCGATAGCCTTGCTTGTGCAGGATAAAAAGCTAATTTCACAGACAGATAAAAAAAAGTTCTATCATGACTTTATTCTGCTCAATTATAATAACCAGAAGAGTTATTCTCGCTAACTACAACACTGAGCCTGTCTTCCATCACTTATTAAAGAGTAAAAAGGCACCATTTGTCGACAGGAGTTACATGTCTAATGAATGACTGGCCTGGATTTGGATCATCATGCCCTTTCAAAGAGTTGCAGAACAAACTGTACAGAAATACATATTGTATAAAAGTGTCTAAAATGTGTAAATGTTAAAAAATAAACTATATATTAACTGTAAAAAAAAAAAACTTTTTTGTTTTGTTTTTTAGCACAGGAAGAGACGAGCTCAATTCTAGCCTAAGAATCTAAGTGCATACGTTACATAATTTAAAAGAGAGAGAAAAAAAAAAAGAAAAAGGTATAGGTCACCTTGACCAGCACTGGCACATCAAGAAATAAAGCACACAAATCAAACAAGAGGGGGTTTGTCAAGGTCAAGCTCAAGTTAGAAATATACAGCTTGTCCTTTTTAAAAAAAAATGGAGAAGGACCATCACATACCTGTGCTATTAAACAGCACAGGGACATTACTGTGAGTGCGGACAGTCACTTCAGCGTCAGCCAAGATAAACAACTTTGTTCTAACTGGAGAGACATACCGGCAATAATAAATAGCTGAGGTGCCCCATAATGGCCTGAATCTTTGTGGAAGAAGACTAGTATGAATTTTATCATCTGAGTGTATTAATACCACTGCCCTATAACAATAATACGCACCAACTTTTAAAAAATGTTTTCATAATGTCATATGTCAAATGACATGCCTAAAGTCCATGTTTATCACAATCCAAACGGGGCATCTCTCGGCTTCCCTCTTTCCATCCTTCCTGTCCTGTCTTTTTTACAGTCTGTCCTTCCTGTTCAGTCTTTTTACTTTTTTCCTGTCATGAATTTCAGGCTTACTTTCTGTACAAGTGCAGTGTGAGTGGAAAAACCTGTTCTAATAAGTAGGTAGGTAGCCCAGCTCGGTGCAATGAGAAGAGGCAGTGTTATAGGGGAAGACTTTGCAGTCCCAGCAATGTTCTTGCTGTGAGTAAAGGCATTCTCGTGTATTGCAATACCAGCCCCTTCTCCTTTCAGGATAGAATGACAACAGCAGAACAGTAACTGGTGGTGGTGCTTTCCTGGTCTATTTATAGTCTTCCCAATGAGTCCAAATTGGTACCATTTGCAAAGTCAGAGGGAATCCTCTGAGCAGCTGGCTCTGCACCAACACTTCAGCAACACTACAGCTGTAAACAGAGAACCATGGGTAATACGAGCCTAGCATTTTTGTTACAACTTACTTCTCAATATCTGCTGACATCAACTGCACTTAAACCCAACTTTCTTTGCAACTTTTAGTTTATATCTTAACAATGTCCCTGCTTTTACATTGTCTTAAAGATTATACACTTATCAATATTCATTGTCCTGGTTTTAATTGCCTTTTCAGGATCATGGGCTGCATTTTGAATTAAATCTTTTGAATTATTTATTCTAGGCGATGGTATGGCCTGGAGAAATTCAGCATACACAACATTTATAACAAGTGTTGCAGTATTGTGATTAAAACTGCTATGATTAATCAATTAATCAATTACTTAATTGACAGAAAAATAATTTCCAATAATTTTGATAATAGATTCACTGTATAAGTCACTTCAAGCATTATCAAGCAAAATTGCCAAACATTGTTCAAGTTCACATGTCCAGATTGGTTTTGTCCATTTTAAATTACTCTCAGATGAATATCTTGTGGTTTTGGACTGTTGACTGAACAAAAAAAGTGTTTGAAGATGTGACCTCAGGCTCTAGTGGCTTGTGATGCACATTTTTTAAGGTGAAGAATTAATAGACTAAAACAAAAAATAATTTCTGGATGAATCAATAATGAAAATAATGACCACACAGAGAGGCAACGCCTTAGTTGTGATATTAAGTAATTCACCTATGATTGCTCTCTGTAAATGTTAGGCCATGTGTATTACTGAAACTATGAAGTCTAGGAATTAAATCAAGGCCATTGATTATTACTTTTGGTCATTTATCAAGTACAAATTACATACATTTGGTGGACACTGTTTTAATTAATGTTAAGTACTGCTTCTCTTTGTTTAACATACAAATTACATTACAGACTAAATATATTTTTATGTAGTTGATCAGACTAAGTAAAACATTTCAAAGATGTTTCTTTCAGCACTGGTAATGCTTATTTTAAAGACAAAATGGCAAATATAAAACTAAATTGACTGACATTTAAAATAATCATTATCTCCAACCACGTCCGTGCATCACATTTCCAGAGGAGACAGTAATCCTGTAGGCAACCAGAGTCTCAGAAATAATAGAGTAAGTTTGGGATTTGTAGTGACTGACCTCACTCACACTCTCCAAAATTAAATTTGAACTCATTACTAAAATTCTCAAAATACTGCTTGCACTATACAAATATGTTAACCTCCACCAACAAAACAACAAAAAAATCATCAATCAATCAATCATTCACAAAGCACTGCCACTTGCTGAATGGTATCATACATTACACACGGGGAGAAATTTGGGGTTTACTTACTTTCACAGCCAGGAATCAAACCGTCAATTCCACCTAACCTATAGCAGCTCACCAAGAGCATTATGTAATCTATATGTCATGTTGACAGTCCTATTTAAAAGTGACTTGTCTTGTGACTCTCAGAGGGGGGGGGGGCAGACCCATCGATTGACTTTTTTCTGCAGATTATTAAGATTTTGCTGATAATAATTCTGTAGTTTTTAAGTGGAATTCTGAATGCAGAGTTTTTACTTGTGATGACAGTATTTTTACACTGTGGTGTTGGTACTTTTATTTAAGTAAAGGTTTCTGAATACTTCTTTCAACACTACACGACATTATAATTGGTCAAGCAGGAAGTTACATGAAGAGAAAACTCGTGACTGCAATTTCATGCCAGTGTCCCATGCATGACTTTTCTGATCTGGACAGGATACAGACGAGCTCAGCGTGAACTGCGTGAAGAGCTAAGCTGGATACAGGGTGGTGAGGCTTGTTATACTTCACCTGTACGCGAGAGTCATGCACTCAAAGAGTTTGGTCAGCGAAGCGTCTATGGAGAGGTGCGACATGCTCGCCTTGCCGAAATGATAGGTCTGACAAGTCTGTTTGTTGACAGTGTCGAAGTCGTAGCCTTTCTTCGGGGGGTGCTCGCTGTGGGGCGAGGACACCATGAAATGCCCGCTGTGGATGATCTGAGACTCCAGCCCCAGGTGAGTCTCTTCCGCGTCCGAGTCGTCATCCTGCTCCTGCTTTATGCTCGCCGGTGGGCGACGGTATTTATGCCGTAAAGACATCTCTCTAGTAGCCATGTCTTTAACTCACCAGACAAATAGCTAACGTTAGCCAGCTAGCTAGGACAATAAAACTCTCCAGTTCATGAGGCTTGGCGATGGCGCGGCTGAGGCTCACTGTTCCTGAACGTCTGTCAACTTCGTGCCGTGGAGTCCCAGTCCAGTCCACTCATTTTAAAGTATGCTGTTGGTAATTAGTGGCGCAAGTTAACTTGTTGTTGTCCTGATAGGTAGTTGACGTAGCTAAGAGTCGCAGGAACCAGCTGACAAAAAAACTGCTCCTCTGTCCGGAGCAGGAAGTTCCTGTGTTGAAGCGTCTCTGGTTGGTCGGAGTCAGAGTCCCACCCACCAAGAAACTCAAAATAAACCCAGAGTCACAGGCCGTTCTCAGGCCAGTCCTCCTCTCTTTGCTCCTGCTGCAGGTGAAAACTGCAACTAATAGATTGCCCTGGAAATGTGTCAAAACCGATCTGGGCTTCAAAGTGTAAGCATAATTTCATTGTTGTAGCTGCTCCAGGTGGATTTAATTAAATTAAATTAAGCTGATCTCTTCTTTCAATACAGATTCTGATAATTTCGAATCATAATCTATTTTCTAAATTTATCTCTTGCACTGTAACATTTCAATAAGTTAAAGCACAAAAAATTTAGTGAGTGTAGAGGTACTTTACCTCTACACTCAGAAAAAAAGCTCAGAAAATGGAAATAATCAAGTAAAATACAAATACTTCAAAACTGTAACAAAGTACAGAGTACATGAGTAAATGTGACTACAGTAACAATTAATGTGTAAGTGTTATTTGCTGCCTACATTAGTCATATATTTTCTTTTGTTTCAGAATGGAAACGAAAAGGAATTGAATCTCAAAGGCCACCACTGTAAGGGTCTCTGGTATTTAAAAGTTGTCTTTCAGGTCTCCCTTTCCAAAAGTTTTAGTGTTAACATTGAGGAGGAAAAAATGTATAGAAGTAACTGATGTTCTTTTTTTTTGCATGAAGAAATTAAATGGTAATAAATAATGGTGGGAGAAGTGTTCCAGTCCATTACTGAAAATATCACAAAATACTCAGTAAAAGTTCTATGTTAAAACTTTTATTTCAATTTAATTTGCTGATCTATAATTTTTCCTTACAAAACCCATTTTATATGTATTGTGTAGCAAAGCTGAGGATTTAACTTAATATTCATATATATTCATCATATTTTAAAGTCTAATACATAAAAATGCCACCATCTGTGTTAGGGCATTTTCTGGAAAGAAACTTTAACAAGAGCCTGAGGCTCGTCATTAACACAACTTCTTCTAGACTAGCAGACAGTTGCTTTCATCACTCTGGAGGGGAGGACCTGCCACTCTGCCCTGCTGAGGGTGGGAAGCCCAGGATGTAGCCTGTAAATGTCACTATTGATATCTCATCTGGAATGGCACTCTCCAAAGAATATTCTGGATCTCCACCTAGAAACACACACAGACACATGAAAAAGTGATGATTTTTTTTCAGGTGTGAATGAAATGAATTCTTAGGTTATGATTTGTTGGTGAGATTTTCTTTTACATACTGTCAGATTTGTGAATGTCATGCTCAGAATGTTTCTGTCCTTCTTCTTCTTCTTCTTCTTCTTCTTTTTCTTCTTCTTTTTCTTCTTCTTCTTCTACTTCTTCTTCTTTTTCTTCTTCTTTTTCTTCTTCTTCTTCTTCTTCTTCTTCTTCTTCTTCTTCTTCTTCTTCTTCTTCTTCATTTAGACCTAAAAGTGTAGTGAAACACTCTGCTACCTCTTCCTCTGTCATGTGTTCTCCTGTCAAAGATAAGATCAAAATTATGACTATATTGGACTTGACAAAGAAACGTAAGTTTTGTGTAATAGAAGATCAAGACATTTCTCATAATATGACAATTGAAACCAGAAAGACTTCTCAGGCTGAAAAGCCTGCAGCGTACCTCGAGCCTGTAGGAGTTCTAGCAATTCATGTCTCTGCAGAACAGGTCGTCCTTTACTGTCACGGTTACCAAGGATGTGAAAAGCTTGCACAAGTTCATCTCGAGAAATGCCGAATGCTGGCCGATGGTTGACATACAGCTTGATAAACTCCTCCAGGTCGATGTCTGTCACATATTTTCCTGTTTCGGCATACTTGCTGAACTTGACTTCATTTTGCATGTCTTCTATCTGGTGAAAATAATATAGCAATCTACAGGTCTGAGGTATAAAGCTGTTTTTTTACAGTGTTTTTGTTGTCAGAAGAAATTACATTGATTGTACCTCTTGCTCAGTAGGGAAGTAGGCCAAAGCTCTCATTAGAGAGGGAACCTCTGATAGGGGAACTTTGGTTGACACTTGACGTTTCTCCATTGAGTCAGTGCCTTGATGACGGACTTGGCAGTAATAAAAAAGGTCCTCAATCTCCTAAAAACAAAAAAGCTCAGAAAACTGAGAAACTATGGTTAAATGGTATCAGAAACAATACGTAAATGGGAGTGTAAATATGAGAAATGCTCTCCAAAAGCAGATAGACAAGATTTTGTATGTTGAATGTTATATTTTGCCCCAAAGTGGTGGGGTGCCAAAATGGTCACTCCACTCACCTTTTTCCAGTTTTCTACTGTTTTACATATCTGTGATATCATACTGCTATACTGGTAACTCTTACAAAAGGTAGTCATCCAAATAGTCCAACAAAGCCTAAATAAAAATTGGAAAAATTACATACGTCAAAGCTAAAGCTGTCATCTTCACCATCAAACAAACTGAATTGAAATAATTGTTGGAAGAATCAGATCAACTCATTGATATTACATCCAAGTATTGTACATAGGCACAATTAATCTGTAGAGAAAACATGTTCTAACAGCACACTGGTTCCTGATTAACACGATGAAATACTACAGTGTAAATAAAACCACAGGCCAAATATTTATTCAAGCAACTCAATGTGTAAGGCTAAGTAAATCAACATAAAAATAAAATAATACATCATTTTAATAACTTTGGTGACAATATATATTAGGGAATGGGCCACATGCTTCTAATTTCAAGCTAATAGAATAATCAGGGTCTGTTCACTCAGCAGTTGTTGGGAATGAGGAAAACGTTTAACTCACCCTGTAGAACTTGCCATCTCTCCCTCCCTCTAAAAGAGTGTAAAAAGGTACCACGCCCTTTCCTCCCAGGGAGGCTGCTGCCTCCAAGGCACTGCATTCACAACAAGAGAGAGGACCATTTCAGGAAACAGGATTACACTGCTCTTGCATTTCCTCTTTCAAGGCTGGTGCTGTTAAAGCTTACTTTATGCCTATTTCCCATGACAGTACAGTGCAATCAGATCCTCCTGCAGTAAAAACAAATCGGCCGTCGTAGGAGCAGGCAAAAGCAGACACCCCTGTCGGGTGGCAGATCAAAGCATTGGACTTGTAGGGGTTCCCATCCAGAGGCAAAATCTGGAGACCCACCTAGAGAAAATACAACGCAATCTTAGTGGTAATATCAGTAATGAATTCCTGTCTTCTTACCAGAGCAGCACTGGGCTCAAAGCAGGACTATATTTAATCATGGTTCAAAAGCCCAGGGGTGTGTCTCACAAAACATAATTGCCAAGACTATAAATATGTTCTGATTTAAACGTGCAACAATTTTTTGCATTAGTCCATGATCTGATGCGGTGTTATACTCAAAGTTAAGTTATCCAGATAATAAATAAAATGCCACAAACAAAATTAAGTAGATTACTTAATAAATTACTACAAACAATTTCCAGCACTGACCTTGTCCTCTGTGATGTACGCCAGGTAATACGAGTTTGTCTCAGGTTCTTTTAACATGGGAAGAACCATTATTTGTTTAATGGGAGAGTCGTATGTTGGGCCAAGGAGAGTCTTTCTGTTTTTTGTAGAACATGTGTAATAATATTTTCCATTAATTTGCGGTGACAACAGTCAGTCTTGAAAAAACTGATCTTGGTACAGTATTTTACAAACCTGCACATCTTGGTCGTGCTGTTGAAAAGCTTCATCTTGTACTGGTCTGAAGCAATGAGGAGAAATTGCTCTGCCGTTAGGGGAGGATACCAAGTCATGCACATTGGCACAGCACTTTGCTCAATGCGCTCTGAGCTCAAGATGAGGAGCTGGTTCAAACCAGATTTTTCCAAGTCGTACTCCACCTATTATACAGTTCCACACATGCACAGAGGTGTTTGGCATTAACACTTATAAAAAATAGCATTAAAAAACACTAAACTAGTCGACACTCCTCCAACTATGACAAAGCAGACTAACCAGGCGGCGGTCCATTCCCAGAGAGAGCAGTCTGGGTTGGGTGCTGTCCAGGTGAACCCCAAAAAGAAGGTCTTTGATGGGTTTGTAGTGGGAGCGGTACCTGCCCAGATACGTCCAACGAGGTGAAGAGCCTTTATTAGTCTGCAAGCGGAACACTGTCACTGCATTTCCAGAATCCTAACAGTGGACAAGGAAATGAAACAAACATGTCATTCTTGAAATTATAAAAATGTTATAGATTTGCAATCCACTGTTGCCACCTAAGTTAGGACATGTTACACTTGATAACAGAGATGAGTGGCTCACCGCAGTGGCAAGATACTTTGAGTCTGAGGAGAAGGTGATGTGATGGATGCTGTCTTCAGTGTAATGGAAACACTCCGCGGGATCACTTTGTAAAGTGCTGGGATTCAGTATGTGAACAGAGCCACTGCCAAAGCCAACTGCCAGGTATAATCCTGTTCAGAGACAAAAGGTGGCTCTTTATATTGCAGAATGTAAAGACAAATACAAAGCCGCAGTGGGGCAACATTATATGCAACATTTGTTTGTTGCAAAGACATTCATTAAACATAATGGCCACACCTTGAGGGTCAAAGGTGATACACTGGATCTGCTTCTCTGTCTCAAAGACCCTTTTGCTGATGATCACTTTGTTGTTGTAGTCCCACACCTTTAAAATGCCCGCATGATTGCCCATGGCCACAGCTGGCCGTTTGGGGTGGCAGGCTACTGCATGTAGAAGGTTGCACTCCTCATGCAGCAGGATCTGAGGGATGCTTTTCTGTGTATTCACATGAACTACTATGGAACTGACCGTGGACACAACAAAGTTCCTGCAGAAAAAACAAGATGTCAGCTTGGTGAAAATGCACAAAACAGTATAAACTGAGGACATAATAGACTGTTTTTCTGATACCTGATGATTAATGGTTTGGCCTCCAGAGTGCAGTCCTCCAGATATCCATCTGTACACTCTTTGGAAAAGGAAATGGACACAATAGCATCCAGGTTGAATTCACTGTACCAAGTGAGAAGCATGAAGTTTTCATCATAAAACTTGATATGGCCTTGAGTGTCACCAGTTACGAAGCAGCTGTGATATCAAACGGCACACAAACAGAAATTAGAGACCAGTAAATACAAGCAACAATTAAAAGGCAACAAGTATGCATATTTATGGCTCTGACTACCTGTCAGTTACAGTGAGAACAGTAATTGGATCTTTCTGAAGCTTAATGAGCTTGAATCCATCCTGAGGAAGGTGCTGGTTCCCAGCTATGTCTTCCATCACATCCCACACCACAAGGCTGCCTGCCCCAGTGGCTGTTAGGACCTGAGGCTCTCTCCAGTGAAACACAGACCGACTCAGAGGCCTGCCATCCATGTTGACAGTTTGAGAAGGATCAAGAGAAGACTGAGTAATCACGGGAGGATCCGTTCGACTGGTGGCTGCATCACAGAACTGCAGAGATGAACAGATGAAACTGTAAAGATTTTTTATCAAAATACAAATTGCCATACAAGACAGAACAATCTGTAAGAATTCACTTACATTTTCTACAAAATTCTGATAATTATCTTTACCTCCTTAAGCTTCAGGGCAAAGCACTGCAGGCTTCCCTGGGCCTGAAAAAAGTCTAGCTGATTAATGTAATAAACATAAACATAACAGCTGTATTATGTATTTAAATAGAAAGTAACAGCTGGACTTACCATGCTATAGAATAACACATGACTTTCACTGTTGCTGAGGAGCTGTGTGCTATCATTTGGATTAAAAATGATGTACTCCTGAAAAGCAATCCAACATTTGAGCATTTGATCTTATGAATGCCTCATCCATTGAGTTAGGTGGCATTTTAATGTTAGAAGAAGGCAAAACTTACTTGAAAACCATGTATAGGATTTATTTCAGTAAACCACAAAGGCTTTTCTGTTTCATTTGTCCAATCCCAAACACACACACACTGTGAAAACATTGTCATATGGTTAGCAGTTTGTTAAAAGATGTAAATTTTACTCTAGAAAGACACTTATTGTTTTGTACTGTCAAATCCAGTATGAAACAGTTATCATGTAAACTGTTTTTGTATTTTGAGAACTTGGTGTTGTAAGGTTATACAATATTTAGGAAGAGTGCAGTTCTGAGACATTGACCATTTGATTAAAGATTATATACTTTCTATTCTTTTAATTTTTTAACAAAGAATGGCCCTTAAAGCATAAGCCTGAAAAAGACAACAAAGCCATGATATAACATTTAAAGATATGATATATGGATAAAGATTCCAAACCATAACATCATCAAAAGAGAGTTTTTTAGCGCTTACATTTAAAATGAATGTCATCTTCTCCACAAAATAATTAATTCAATAAATTATTTTTTAAAATATTTAATTGAATCTGTTCATTCCAACCATGCTGCCATACTCACTTGAACTTCTTCAGCCCCAAGGGTTACCAGATGTTTTGTGTCTCTTGAAAATGCCATCGAAATGACACTGTCATCAGGGTGGCAAGCAAACAATGTATGCACAGGAATACTGAAATAATTATCATGCATGTGGTTACCACCAAGACAAAAGGTTAATACACAAAGAAAGCCTTAATGTGTGGAGAATCAAGAGCTACCCAGAGTAGGAATCCCATATCATCACCGTGCTTTTCGGTCCCTGGTCTGCAGTCGCAACCCAGCGTCTGTCTTCACTCACACAAATGCATGAGATGGGGCGACAGTGACCCTGAGAGAATAAGAAGTATATACAGTAAGCTATTTAAAATCAACAACCTGCATGTAACAGCTCTCAAAAGATATCTATAGCTGCTCAGGTTACTCATAGTGCTGACTTTATCCGAAGGATGCCGCCTCATCTCCTTTTTTATCACATATTCCTGAAAGTCAAAAACCAGTTGCCGATTTTCTCACCTGAAGTATGTGCTGGGAGTTTGAGGTGTGATTGTATATGATCCCAACGTGAGCACCAGCATAGAGGACCACCAGCTGATCATGGTCTTGCAGACTGAAGACAGGAAGGGCAGGATTCATCCCAAATACCCATTCTAGTGACTGGATGGAGAGCAAATTTGCAGTATTGTTATGATCCAGTGAAAGTTCTCAGATGATCTTCTCATCTTGAGGTGAACATTTTCCATGAAACTCTCTTGACTGCCTTGTGCAGAGGATCAATTTACAAACATTACTCAAATAAGACATAGTATTTACCAGTGCATGTGTTCTGGGTTGAGTTATCTTCTTTGGGAAAAGTGTGTCTCTGGTTGCAGTGTAGACTTGAGACTGCCAGCCCATCTTGTGTGTGTCAGGCTCTGTTTCCTCTCTCCTGACTGTGGCACTCTCCTCGGCTTCATCACTGCTCTTCCTCTGCTCCTCTTCATCATTACCTGCTGGTCGATTGTCCTGCCATTTTTGCTTTTCCACTTTAACGCTTGTGGAAGGCTGATGTTTCTTAGCTTCAGCATCTGACATGATGTCGAACCACACACGTTTTGGACGATTAATCCTGTTTTTTCTTTAACAACTTCATAGAGCTCGTCTCCCTTAATCTGTCGGGTTAATTACAGCTAACGCTAGTTAAATTAGGCAAAACTAGATACGCTACGAAATGTAACAAATCTCGCTATTTAATTAACCTAAAATACAACATCTCTTGTACAATTTGCCTCATTCAAAGGACTCAAGCTGTATATTAAAACAAACTGTCTAATTAGTCTTGGCGGTTAGTAAAAATCATCTGTAAAGCGCCTGTGAAGCGTCTCGTCGCCTAGTTACCACTGGACACTGGAAGACGAGTGAAACCAAAACACAGAAGTTCTGGCTAGGTCTTTCAAATTAAAAGCACTAGGCTGACGTGACTAGTTACTTTGCAAAAAGAGATTTTACATGCAAAACTTGTAAAGATCTAATAAGATGGGGCCCTGGTTCCCTAACGTTGTCTATATTTAAATTAGTTTGCAGTGATTTGATTACTTTCAGATTTATTTATTAATATATACAACAGTGCAGTATAGGTCACTTAGTTTGTGGAGTAGTAAACTGTGCACCTCCAGGGACATAATCAGGATGTAAGGAGTGTCTATGTGAAAGTGTAAACTCAGTTGGCAGTTTATTAGGAACACTATAGAACTGTTGATTCAACTGTATGGTGAGTCTGGAGGATGTAGTTTGTGCTGCTGTTGAATGGTATTCTGCAGTATATTACAGAAGTCTGTTATATAAAGCCTACTCTCCCTGATTTAAATTAAGTTGACAAAATAATATAATTTATAATATATATATATATATATATATAATAGTGTCAGTTTAACACAACATAATTCAATAGCACCACAAACTGCAGCCTCCAAAATGATCACAAAGTTGAATCAGCACCTCTCTGAAACAATTTCAAAAGGTAGGTAGGATTTACGGCATGACTGTGGTATTACACTGCATTAGCTTTAGCTAAGTGTACCGAATAGCCTACTCACCGAGGGCATATTATTGAGTGTTCATTGCCCTTAGTGATCACATGATCTAACTACACTTGCTTGTTACGTTTTCAACGGAAGTATCAGTGCAGTATCTAAGATGATGCTAGTGGTTTCAGATTATTCATATATTGTTTAATAATTTACTGATAGCCAACCTTTAAAGAATATTAATGATATCTGTAAAAAAAAAAAGTTTGAATTTGAATTTGAATTTGAACATTCAAACTTTTTTTCCGTACATGATAACGCTTTGGTCACTGTATTTTGAAAACATTTACCGGAAAACCTACTATGTTGGTAGGTCAACATTGACGGCAATTGACGAATCTAATTTTGTATTGCAGTTACTCAGAGTGACCACTAGAGGGCAGGAAACACCTGATAACAAATGATATGCTACATGTAAATTTTGTAAATTTAGAAAATGTGGAAATATTTTTAGTAAAATGATTCATCTTTAGCGCAATGTATTACATATAATATAAATATATTATGTGAATAACAGGCAAGACATAGACAAACTTTTTTCAGTGACTTTAGACAGAGATCAGGTCACGTTGTTTTAGCAGAAGATGACAAGCATACAGAAACACAGAGAACAGTGAAAATGATTAAATTGCGTCGTAAGCAACACTGTGCTCTGTGGACCTCAAGTCTATTTATGAAGTGAAACCCCGTAAAAAGGAGCAATCCAACAGTTTAATGTATTATAATCTATTTATTAGTGTTTGATAATTCGATATAAATACTTATTTCTAAAATGTCAATGAAAACCGTAAAAGAATATTAAAAACCACTAACATTAGTGTACCAGACAAGAATGTGGTTACGCAAGGTAACCACTAGAGGGCAATGTAACAACAACTGCAAGAGCGTTAAGTTAGACAAACATAATAGCGTGCAAAGACTTCTGGTACGAACATTCAAAATAAAATATTCAAATTATGCAGAAGTGAGGATACTCGTCGTAATAACGGGATTTTAGATGTTATGGGTGAAGCAGACGTGATAACTACTCGTTTATGTTGAGTTGTACACGTGATTTTGGTGTTTTTGAAGTCGTGAATCAGCACATTTTTGCAGTCATACTTTTGCTTTGAAAGGTCGGCACCGTGTCGAAACGTCGGTTGTTGCTTTGAGCTTTAAACCTTTTTTAGATTTTTTCCCCCCGGTTCCACCGGTCTGAAAGCATCTGGGTTTTCTGTCTGCGTTTCATACTTACAACTTATTAGTCAGTTTCATTTTCGCTACCTCTGTTTCATAATTTTTGTAACTACTATCTCATTTATTGAGGTTTGAAGGATTATTGTTCTTATAGTGAGGAGTTTTTGACGGTTAACGCACCAAAAAGTGAGAAACGCGTTTTGATGAGGAAGCGGCTAATTATGATTTCATCAGCTACAGGTGAGGAGGCATTTAATGATTGTGAACTTATCCTGATGGGTATTTGATTTGTTACTGCGATTCAAGTTGAATTAGTTAATACAGGTGGCTGAAATATGTTGTTAGCTGTAGCCTTTTGACGTTAGCTAACGTTAGCTGCTGGTCCTTATCTCCAATCCCCTCAGCTGACAGTCAGCCGGGCTCTTAATAAGCTGTTGGCCAACACTCAGCCCATGAACCTAGAAAGTTTAATATGTTTTTTAATATTGAATTCAATGCGAGGTTCAACAGTAGACCGTCAGCTCAGCCACTACAAGGCTATTTGCACTTAGCTGCGAAAAAGTTTCCATTGTGCGTTAACAGCTTTTAACCGGTTACACGAAAGAGTTGGTGAAGGATATAAAAAGGAGAAATTGGAAAGTTTTCGACAGCTGTTCCTCATTGTAATGACCATGTCTACATTAGTTACATTCCCTTTTTAATTTACTGGATACAAAGTGGTAAGTGATGTAATTATTTATTCTTCTAGAAGTATTAACGTACACATATTTGTCAGGTGTTTTTGATTCTTCGAACTAGCTGTAGTTCTCATAAAAGCAGAGTCTGACAATATCTCAAATTCATTCAGTTTAACCAAAATTACAATTTTCTTCCCGTTAATGGCTACATATGTAAAAGGCTTTACTGTGACCAGTTTTTATTCGTTTTGACATGGCACATGATAGCATACATTTGGATCTACTCTTGCCAGTTTATGAGGTACAGCAAGCTAAAACTAATGCAGTCTAGTTAAACTGTCTTGCAATAAATCCTACCTTCATGAAGGTTATAATATTCAGTATTTGTTGAAATGATTGTAGAAAGGTATTGATTAGCTGTATAATAATTTTGTAGGGTGTAGTTTTGGTTTTGGAAAAAAGAGAAGAAAAGAAATCAGTCTCCAGTACACCCAGAAGATAGACAAATAAACATAGATAATAGTAGTCATCAACTTCTATTTATCTTCCCGGATCTGCCTCATCAGTGATTTTGAACATGATATTATCAGAATGAAAGAGGAAATACCCAAAACAGAAACAAAGAGAAGAAGACAAAAAAACACAGCCATCTACAAATTATGAAGTTAAAGAGCATTGAAAATGGCTCTTCCTGGGTTTTCTGTATTGAAGCATTGAGTGTCCTAGTCTAATGTCTGCACCAAGTAAAGATGCCTGAGGTTATTTGCCAAGTTTAGCACAGCCAGGCTGTACTGATCACTAAGCTTGTGAGATTTAAGCTCCTGCAGTCACAGACAGGACAGACTGAGTTTCCTTTTTAAAAGTTTTAATTGTCAAAGGAATTACATTTGACCTAACAGCATATATTGAAAAGCTTCTTTTTTTTATTATCAAAATATTAATTTTATGTCTTACAGGTGGGAATAGTATATGAGAGATTTCTAATATGTGGACAGAGAAGCAAAGAGGAATCAGAGTTTCTCAGGAGGAGCTGCTCTGCAAGAATGCCTGTGGGTATTATGGAAACCCTGCGTGGCAAGGCCTCTGCTCCAAGTGCTGGAGAGAGAGAGCACGTCCAGTTGAATCCCAGAGACAAGACACAAGGTAAAAACTGCTTATTGTAGCGACTGTTCAGACTCAAAGACCTCAGGCTAATGGTGTCATTGTGTAGATGGATTCTTGTCACAGCATCTTAAAAGCAACATTATGGAAACTTCATTACACCATTGATGTTTACCTGAATTGGTGGACATTGTTATGCATATTAATTAAACATATTAATCAGAAAAATAAATTACAATGACTGCAAAATGCTTTAATTTATGATTATGATTTATGATGTATGCTGACACATATTAAGTGACTATTAATGGACTCATCAGCACAACTGCTTTGTTTATATAACTATCTTATAATATAACTGTCACCTTGAGGAAACTTTAATGCTTTTGGTTTAAACTGAGTTTAGGTTTGAATGCTTAAAGTTGTCATTCTTTGTAGGCCAAGAAATGATGGAACTCCTCTCACCTTCTCCAAATTCGAGGAGAAGAAAAACATTGAGAAAGGTCATCGAATTAACACAATGAGGAGACTCTTCTGGGGCAGCCCATCGCCTCCAAAACGCCAAGGTAGCCCTGTTTGCTCTGTGTCCTTTGATTCAATGTTCTGAGTTCCATCAAGTCAAAAACAAGTATCAGCAAAATGTTTGGTTGTTTTGCCTCAGGATAAAAAAAAATCAACTGCTTTATCACATTTAGCTTAGTCATCAGTTGTGCTGCCTGAGGATCAAGAGCAAAGGCAAGAAGAGCTCTAAATTGATGAAAAGCCTTATTTACCACACAGCTTAGAGACTTAACTGCAAGAAGAACAAAAGCAGAATAGAAGAGTGGAAAGAATTAATGAGATGAACCAGGACTGAGTGGTATATCAACTTTTTAAGGTACATATATTTTCAAATGAGAGTCAGCAGGCAAAGCTTTTCGGTTTACCAATCGTTCTACATTCCAACCCAAACCTGTGGTTATGAGCTTTGATTAGTGACTGACAGCGTGGCAGTGAATGAGATTGTGAATACAAGAGGCCGAAATGAGTTTTCTCCGTAAGGTGGCTGGGCTCACCCTTATAGAAAAGGTAATGAGCTTGGAGTAGAACCAGTGCTCCTCCACACCGAGAGGAGCCAGTCGAGGCGGCTCATTCATCTGATCAGGATGCCTCCTGGGTGCCCTCCATTGGCAGTTCCACAGGCACATCCAGCTGGTAGGAGGCTCCAGAGTGGACTCAGAACACGCTAGAGAGACTATTTATCTGGCCATAAACAAAGGTGTTGACTAACTGATCTTTTTGGTTGTCTGTTTTTGCCACAGTTTTGCAACAGTTGTTGTGCTTCATTAATTAATGTACAGATAGGCTCCTATGTGCATATATGTGGCTAGTGTAGTGTCCTTACATCTGCAAGTTGACAACACAAAACCAATCTGTAGGTACTGCTGCCAGGGATTGCCCCTTCACCTGTGCTCAACTGCTTCACTGCTTTTTCCAAACGCAGTGACTGAGTCATTCTGAATACCATGTTTCAGTTTTAAAATGTGTTACTTCATTTATTTATCTGGAATGACATCCACTTTTCATCCCTCTAGAGTCTTCTGAAAGCCAAACAAATGCATTAAAAGCGTACCAGAGCCTTGAGCCTGGGGACTTCACTGGCTTCCTAAAAATACTCAGAAGCCCTCCCTCCCAGCGCTTGCAGTCCCGATGTACAGCTTTTCTCAACACAATGGAGGCTTACCATGTAACTATGTCATTAAAAGTTTAACATTATACTTCTTGTTCCTTTTCTTTGAAATGTCGGAGCTGTTCTGATCATAGCTTCTCATCATCTTTACAGGATCTGCCGGTACAGAAACAGTCGGATCTTGTGCAGGATTTCTACCAGTCTTTTGCTGAACATTTTAGCAGTCAGTACAGATCAGTTCAACACCTAGTGGCTGTTAATTCTGAAAACATTGTCAAAAAGAGATTTCTAAGTTGTTATTTTTGTTTTCAGGTTTTACTGAGGCTCAGGCCACTCAGATAATGGAGCACGTAGAGAAGTTAATAATGACACGGTTGCATAAATGGGTTTTCTGCCATGACAGCTGTGATGATGAACAGAAGGACTTGGCTCTACAGAGAAGGATACGGTAAGCCTTACATACATCACTTATGTTGTATTTGACCTCTAACCTCTGATGACTGTTTGTCACTTATGTCTTTATTTTGCAGCTCCTTAAACTGGGTTACTCCGCAGATGCTGAGCGTACCTTTTCCTGATAAAAAGACTACAGTCACAAGTGACCCCTTCCTGTCTGCTATAACAGGTGATTCACAACATCAGTACTGGAGGAATAGTTATTCATTTTAGGAAATGGGCTTTTTGCCTTCTGGTGGAGAGTTAGATGAAAAGATCAATATCACTCTCAAATCTGTTTGTTAAATATATAAAGATGCTATATAACCCACTGTAAAATGGTGTATTGTCAGCCTAGCATTTCCCCTTGCTTCCTGTCTGTATGCCAAACTAAGCTAACTGGCTGCTAGCTGTAGCCTTATATTTAAGTGGCAGACATGAGAGTGCAAATACACAAAACAAAACCAACTCTATGCCAGAAAACGTGTAAGTGTTTTTCCCAAAATGTTGAACTCTTTCTTCAAGCTCATGAGAGACAGTGGTAAGATTCACACATGCTGGAAACATTATTAAAAGGTCTAAAATGCTGGCCTTTGACATTTTGCCCTGGTCTGTATTTTTTTTCAACAGCCATAATTGAAATGGATGCCAAACGAGCACCTCAGGACAAACTTGCCTGTGTGTCCAAATGCAGTCAGCATGTCTTTGAGGTGCTCTCCTCTTCGAACAGCGAGCCTGCTAATGCTGATGACTTCCTGTCAGGGCTGATATATGTGGTACTGAAGGCCAATCCACCCCGCCTACACTCAAACATGCAATATGTGATTCGGTTTGGTCTCCCTCACAGTTTGATGGCAGGAGAGAGCGGCTACTATTTCACAAATTTGGTAAGTTTATTGCAAAGTTACTCATCCATCATACACCATAGGATGCTGTGTAACAAGATGGTTAATTACTCATACCTGTGCCCTTGTCCTGTTTTAGTCTTGTGCTGTGGCCTTCATTGAAAAGCTGGATGGACCAGCACTAAACCTCAGCCCAGAAGAGTTTGAGGGCTACATGCTGCATCAGCGTGCTCCCTCTACAAGGAAGAAGAGGCAGCAGTTTGTCGGTGACACACAGCACCTGTTAGAAGAGATAAAAGACAGACAGGAGAAGCTGGACCAGGGGATGGATGCTCTCAACACGCAGCTACAAACGTGGGTGAAAGCAGTTCATTCACAACTGGATGAGGCAACAGCACAGTTTGCTCTGGTACAGAAGGAGATCACAGCTCAGGCTGATATCTCACAGGTTTTTTCATCCTCAACTCATGAAGAATCACTGCAAGGGGATCAGGAAGACCATTCGGTACGGGTGCTTACAGATCAACATGTAAATCCAAAAGATTCAGACTGTTAGCGATACTAACAAAAACACCTAATCTGGCACTTGACTCTTTTTAATCATCAGCACTAATTTATGTAGGATGCAAAACAGATGTATATTACAATGCCACATTTGCACAGGTTTCAACAGTAGGAAGCTGGGATTTATCTGCCAGTTGAACATGAAGGAAAACCTTTTGAAGGAAATTCTACATTAGCTATCACGGGGCACACAGAGGTTTTTTAATGACTGTTAAAAAATGTTGCAGATTTGTATCTTGTTTGAGGATGAAGGCCAATAAAATACATTCCAGTTTGTAGTAACAGGTGTGATCATAAGTAATATTTAAGCACTCAGGTTATGAGGGCACCTAGGGGTATCACCTAACACTTTAAGGGTGCTTATTTAATATTAGGTTTTTCTAATGGTGTACACCAATGTGCCTATATGTAAACTGCTGTGAAGTTAAAAAATATGCTACAGTAAAAATGTTGGATGATAGTTGTGGACCACTACAAGTCAGGCGGTGTATTTGGAAAAAACACATTTTCCAGGACTGTTCTCAATATGTTGCCTTCACTGTTTGTTCAAAGATGAAAAAAGTGGTGCAAAATAATTTGTAGCAATTCCTACATGTTGCAGAAAGTATGGGTTGTTTACAACGGTTACAGAAGTTACTGAATAAATGAAAGGGGTTTGTGTTGTGATCAATGGTGATGATGTACCCAATTATATAATTAAAGTTGACTTATATAATTTAATAATTTGATTTTGTCTTTTTCTTTAGTGTGTTTTTTGTTGTTGTAATTGACTTGTTTGCAAAGTCAATCAGGAGTCAAAAAACTAAATAGTGGGCATGTGAACAGTTAAATGCTCAGTGATTAACTCATTGGCATGTGTTCTTGAAACGAGTGTAAATATGTGTGTTTAAGTATTTTATCATTTGATAAAGCCTTTAGTTTCCTTCCACGCAAATGTGTTTTGGACATTATGTGCCTGATGTTTGACCGTCACTGTGCAGGATCATGTATGTTCAGAGTCTGACACTGAAAAAATAGACCTATCACTTCACACCTGTCATACTTTATTTTAAATTACTTGGCTTGACATCGTCATTTTTGTAACTGATAGAAGAGTTGTGGATTATTTGGTGACTACACTGCACTTTCATGTATTGTTTTCTAATTGGCCAGTTGGGGGCAGTAATGTATTGAAACTACCATGAACCTACCAGAACATTAAACAGAAGAAGAATTGATCCGCGAGGATTAGCCGAGCAGCCATGAAGATGACAGGGGAGAACAGTTCTGGAAACTCGGAAATAACAATGGATGATGTTAAAAACCTCATTAAGAAGAAAGATGACATTGAGGAGCAGATAAAAGCTTATTACGACGTCTTAGAAGACGTAAGTTAGCGGTCAGATAATCAGACACACAACGTAGCATAAAGCTAACCCCGAGACTACTAGCATCTGTCGGGAAGTGGTTGTAGTTTACATGTTTTTCTTTCTTCACTGTGTGTTTACAGCAAGGTGTCGGAGTTGAAGGTCCCTTGGTCGACGCAGAAGGCTACCCCCGAGCAGATGTTAATTTATACCAGATCAGGACAGCAAGACACAATATTTCATGTAAGTTGCAGCTTGTTTGTTGTTTCTAGTGTTTTCTGTGGCGGCAGGGGACATTTGGGCTTATCGTGAAGCAGCACGACATCAAGTACCCACCTGTTAACGTATTGACGTGATAGTCTGTCACGGTCATTTAGGTAATGGAGTCGCCATTAGTATAATTTCCAAACAACATTCTTTACTTTCATTATATGGACGGATCAGTTAAAACCAACAAATACCTGCGTGATGACACCAACGTGCAACAGTTAAAACGTTGAAGTAAAACAAGTTGAGCCCAATTTCTTTATCTTAAAATTAATGTTTGTTTAGACATATTGTCAGAAAATTACATGACAGAAGTCACTACCACAATTGACCAAAAGTTAGTGGTAAAATAAGTTTGGACTGATATATCACTTATTAAATATGACATCATCTGACATGTGTAGCATGTTGGTGTAAGGCTGCAACTAATGATTATTTTCATTTTCAATTAATCTGCTGATTATTTGTTTAATATGTAAAAATGTGGGAAACAGTGAAAAATGCATATCACAATTTCCCAGAGCCCATGGTGATACAATAAAATGTCTTGTTTTGACCAACCAACCATACAAAAGCCAAAGATATTCAAGTTATAATTAGGTAAAATGGGGAAAAGCAGCAAATCCACTCATTGGATAAACTTGCCCAAGAGAATTCTTGTCATTTTGTTTAAACAGTAGCTGAAATTGAATTAGTTAAATTGACTATCACAATACTTGCAAATTCATTTTCTGTGAATCATTTAACTGTCGCACCTCTGTTCTCCTTTTTATAGGCAAAATCTTTCATCATTTATTTTCAGTCCATTGTCATTTTAAACATAATGCCTTGACCATGTCTTCCAGGCCTGCAGAATGATCACAAAGCCATCATGGCGGAGATAGAAGAAGCCCTGCACAAACTGCATGCTCGAGAGAAAGCTAAGCGGGAACGGGATGAGGCAGAGGCCCAGGTGGAGGCAATGGAACAGCAGGTCACCCTGCCTCCTCCATTTGCACGAGTGGATGCAGTGACTCAAGGCTCACCTGCCTGTAGAGCTGTGAGTAATGAGAAGTGTACTTTATGTCTGGTAGTGGTTTCAGATACACCATCACAATTCTTTGAAGTTAAGACTTAAAATATAGCTGTTTTGTTTCTGTGCATTTTTTTTTTCTTTCCAAAGGGGCTCAGCGTTGGTGATGAAGTCACTGAGTTTGGTTCTGTGAACACACAGAACTTCCAGAACCTCCAGAATATTGCTGCTGTGGTACAACACAGTGAAGGGGTAAGCTTTGGAAGTAATCCACTGGTTGAGCAGTAAATCAGATTTTATTGTTTACATAAATTAATTTAAATTAAGATTTTTTTTTTTTTTTTAATATATCTTTTTTATTTTGTGAAGAATGATTTATTGCAATGAAATTGCTAGAGTGTAAACTGCAATTTCATGTCCTTATACAGAAACCATTACGTGTCACAGTTTTCCGGGAAGGACAGAAAGTTCAGATGAGCTTGACTCCACAGCGATGGTCTGGCAGAGGTCTGCTGGGGTGAGTGTTATACACACAGTCACAGTCATGTGTTTGATTTGGCAAAGATTGAGAGTCGAGTAGAGTAGTTGATATTTAGAAGCAAAGAAATCTATGAGCCCACATGAACAAAGATGCTGAAAAGCCTCTAGTGGACAAGCAAACATGTTTCTCTTAATGTATGTGTTTTACTTTGCCATGTATAGATATTGGTAAAATACTATTGCACATCCACCATAACATGAATGATTCATGATATAAATAGCTGTCGGTATTGGCAAGTATAAAGTGGTTCACATCAGCCTGTCCTGCCTCTTTTTCAGATGCAACATTGTCCCAATCAATCGGTGATCACAATGACATTGTGCAGAATTTCAGCCATGAAACACTTTTATGCCACTTGTTACCCTGGATGCTTTCAGACTAAATTTGTACATACTGCAGAAATTTCCATGTTTAATTTTTCCATATCTTAATCAGAACTTGAAACTTTTTCCTTTGTACAAGGACAGCCTTCAGAAATATTAGACTAAAATGTCAGTTTGCTTCTGTTTGAGTCAATTTACTGAATGATAGCTGAATAAACATTGCTTATCTTACACTACTCTGATCAGAATCCTATATGTTCAAACTAGGGTAGTTGTTGAAATGTATTGCAGTGATTGAAAGTGATGAACAAACACTGAAAAGAAATGACTGGACACAATGTGTGATTTTTTTTTTTTTTTTTATTGTATAAAAATTTATATCACAAAACTGTCCAAAGTTGCTTTTTTTCCAAAGCATTAACTCAATTTACATATAGGCTGAGAAAATTATCTTTACCCAACATCATCAACTGCTAAAAGTTTAGTGCCAGTTGTTTCTATCAATATGAACAAAGCAATCACATCAGTTTAGACTTGTGAATATACTTGGGCCAAATGTTTGACTGCATGTTTTATGGAGGGGGGAAACAATTATTTCCACAAATAAGAAATATTTGTCAGGTTGGGGTAAACTTGAGATGAGACTGGAGTTATCAAGTATTCTTTTGAAAACAGCCTCAATGTACATGTAAAGACAGCCAATTTTAGCCAAGTTAACATGTTCATATGGCTGTTGTGCCTCAAAGGCGTTTCTTGAAGCTTTTTACAAATTTATACCAAGCAAAATGGTATAATCTTAATATCAAAAAAAGACTAGATTAGTGTAATCCCAGCAAAAAAATCATGTAGGTTGCTTGAGTTTCTTCTTTTTGGGCTTGACCATCTGTGGTAGTTGGATTTTAAAGGCAGTCCTACAAAGAAAAAAAAGATTTTAGATCATATTAATGCCAACAAAGTGAGGATAATGGGTTTTGTATTAAAGGATAAAAAGGTTTCTGCCTTAAGATACTGTATCTAAAAAAAAAGAAAGAAAAAGACTTACTCGCAAGTTGTACAAATGGGGCTGAAGTTGCAGAATACTAAAAAAAAAAAAAGATAGGAGAAAGCGTCATCAAAAAAACAAAACAAGTATAGATATTATAAAAACTGCTGTCATGCATTTGTTGCTGTAGCTGTGAACTAAACTTACTTGACAGACAAACTGAGCACACATAACCAATCTCAATGAGGTTACGATGACAGAAACATGCAGCTCTGTAGTCCACATGTGCAGGCGGTGGCAGCACGAGCTGTGAACGCTGCTCCAAGTCAGGCAGGAACACCCACTGTTCAGAAAACACCACCAACAACAGAGTGATTTGTCTTTATATTTTAACAAGACAAACCATATTCATAGGAATATGTAAAGACGGTACTGTGCACTTACTAAAAGGTATTGTGCCAGAGCAATTTTCTGTGGTATCTTGAGGTACAATCCTCCAGTTATGTCGCAAGCCTAAAAAATAAATAGCTGACGGTTAAAATCCTCAGTATATACAGGTTAGGACAGCCAGTACGGTCAACAGTATCACATTATCATCACACCCCTGGCATACCTTACGCTAATGATAATAATATACTGGCACTTTAAAGAGTATTAGACAGTAGACAGAGTATTGTTCTGTACAAGCTATTTAAAATCAATGCACAAATAGTTGAGTATTCTTTGGCTCAGCTTTGGTACAGTACATGCCATTATGATACAGGGTGTAGTGCTGTAAGACTGCAGTTCTGTCAATGTACTAACAAGTCAGTAAAAGAAAAATACCTGCTGAAGGAGACCCGAGTCCGAGTCCAACACACAGGCGTCTATCAGGATGTTCTGTTTTACAATACATAAACAGTGATTTTTCATAAGTATAAATAAATGAAATACATACACCTGTTGAAGAAAAGAGGTAAAACAGAAGTAAGATCTACATTTTACCTGCTTTTGGGCAGCAAAAATCACATTCATGAAGTTCATGTACTGGAGGGCACAGTCCTCAGCTGCTTTTATCACCTACATCCATTAAAGTGGAATAGAGAAGCTGTGTTCAAAGTCAGGTTGAAAAAAAAAAAAAAAAACTGATGAAATTAGACTGAAGCTTACCAATATTCTTGATTTCATCTCCTGCGCAACTAAAGAAAATAAACAAAAGTCATTACAAAAGTGCTAAAAGGAAAACATCATCTCGTGAAGAGAATTAATAAGCTTGATGTTAAATAAAATAATTACCATCGAGCTCTTTTGAGACCCTGTGAATATCTGAATATAAAAGGTTTAAGGAGAATTTGGAAAACAGCTCAACCATTCTCAACATACAGGGAAAAAAGAAAAAAAAAAACAATGTAGTCATTTCTTTTAACTTGACGAGCACTTCCATCCTTCAACACATAAAATATGAGCACATTTCAAACAACCAGTGCACAACATTTCTCAAAAACGGAAAATAAACAAATATTTGATACCATTATATCGCTGTTGTTAGTTCTATCATGTAAAGCTGTAATCAAAAGAATTTCACTTGTCCATGTCATGACAGTCTTTACGCACGTCTGTATGAAACCGTTAAAGATGTCATTGAAAGGATACAGCAGAGAGCTTTGGCAAGGGATCCAGCCAACAGAGTATCTGTTGAATTCCCCCTCACTTCAGCTATAATCACATAAGATGCTCATGAATTTTCAGGAATCACAAACAGCTCACAGTGTCATTAAAACAGAACAACTGCAAAGACAGTTTAGGCTTTATTTTCACATTTTATAATGATAATCTTCCCCAGATTTGTCAACTGTTTGATTAGAAATCCAATGGCAGGTGGGGTCACAAAGCAGTCATCCATCGAGGTAGTATATTTTATATTCATTTTACCCAACGAAAAGAAGCTTGTACTTACTTTTCGACATAACATTCCTGATCTCTTCGGCAATAAGGTTGTTGGCGACTGACAGGAGTTCATACTTTCCATCCCCGCTGGAGGATGCATCATCTCCACCGCTGTCCCCAGCTCTCCAGCTTTTACTGGGAAACAGGAAGTGACTGAAATAAAGTAAGTGGGAGAGTTTAGCATCTAAGTAGTGACAGCAAAAAATTATATTCAGTCCTGGAAAATGGCAGTGGAAGGAGTAATGTTCAGAGTATCAATACATTAATGTAAAAAATACTCTATGTCCTTTGTACTTTAAAACGATTTTATATACAGTTAGGTTTGTTTTGTTTTGTTTTTTTAACGTTGGACTAACTTTTTCTTCGCTGGGAAGTTTGCTATACAGTTACCTGTCTTGACAATGGCTTGCGATGACAGCCAGCTTGTTTGTCCTGGTCATGGCCATATGGGAGTTCCCCACCACCATGACAGCATCCAGACACTTGGACAGCGTGAACTGGACGGAGACAAGAGCACAGTGGGTGTTGTTCAGACTCAGCCAGCATTTAGAAATCAGAGTACGGACGAGTTTATGATTTAACAACACCTAAGTTAAAAGTATTACCTCTGGCTCACGCTGAGCTTGCTGGCCCCACCATATCGGATTTACATCCACGACGATGACCAGCAGACTGACATCATCCTCTGCAGACAATGTGGAAACATTTCAACAACACAACGCAGCTCTGCTCGGTGAAGAGGCTGGCTAGCTTAGTTTACAACACAAAATACACATGTCACAACGTTACCTGATGCCATCACAGCAGGGTATTCGTCTAAACCGAAGAGACACCAAAAGGCTAAAAAGCTGTAGCTGTCCTGGAGCTTTATGTTCTGTTAGCTTCCATCTTTGGTCTGAAAATTAACACAACACCCGCGTTTTTAAATCTGCATATTCTGACAATGTACGACTTCGTAAAAGCAGTTAAATATACGAACATATAATCAGTTCAGCTACAGATATTTCCCAAATCTGGAGCCATACCAGAGACAGTAGAGAGGATCTTCGGCCATACTCAACAGTCTTTGCATCACTAGGCTGCGACCGTTTTTCTTTTTCTACTTTATAATTAAATACCACATGGTGCGCTACTGCCACCTAGCGACGTTTGGCTGAAGCGTGCGTTCACGTAAAGCCCCTACAGGTGTTTTCTGTGGAAGTGGTTCTCGGACATTTTCATATTAAGGACCCCTAAACTGACACAAATTAGACTATGGGGGGTCCATAATCTCATTTGATAAGACATTTACTTTTAGATATTTTATTGCATGAAGTGTTTGAAACCCATGACCAATATAGTCATATAGTCATATAGTTTTCCAATTTCTTTATTGAAAATAGACATCTCATATTTGTGGAGATAGCATTTACTGTTGTAGTTGGTTCAGGCGGAGCTCAATTTGGTTACTTACTGTATAGTGTTGGTAGTTTAATCTATAACAATCCGTCATATTTTCCAAGCCGATCTAATGTTTTGGTTGTAAAATTGAGATCAGTAAAGTAATTAGTACCTATAGCTGTCTGGAGTAAAAAGTAAACTGTTTCCCACTGAAATTTGGGTAGTACAAGTATTAAGTAAAAAATGAAAGCACTCAAGGAAAGTACATAATTGTTTTATGTACTGTACTTATCTAAATGTACTGTATTGAAACTCGTGTGCTTGTACAGGGCCTTTAAAGGGCAGTAACAGTGTTTTGTTATAGTATAAAAATAATTAACTGTAGCTGCAACTAATGATTTTTCCCCCAATATCAATTAATCTGCTGATTATTTTCTCACATCAATTGATGTATTGTTTGGAAACATTTGGAAAAAAACCCTAATGACAGTTCACCAGTGCCTAAAGTAAAACTTTGTTTGATTTTCTGAACCAACAGGCCCAAACCCAGGAAGTAGCTACAGAATCTGATCAGATTATTTGCTCTATTGGAAAAACCTGTGGTGACATGAAATAATCAGAAATAATTTCTACCAAAAGTAAACAGTATATTTTTTAATAATTATTATCCCTAATATTCAGTTGCAAAACAAATTGTTCTTGAATAAAGTCACAAATGACAGACATTTATACATTAAATATTTACTGAATTAAATACACATCCTGCATATCCTCCTCCTGAAGCTATTAATGTTTCCCAGTAAAACAAAGCTCCCAAAATTGGCCTTGAAGCAATTAATCTGATTTTATTTAATAATTATAATCCCTAATATTCTGTAGCAAAACAAAATGTTCTTGAATGAAGTCAAAAATGCCAGCTATTTTATACATTAAATATTTACTGAATTACGCACATCCTGCATATCCTCCTCTTGAAGCTATTAATGTTCCCCAGTAAAACAAAACTTCCAAAATTGTCCTTGAGGCATGCTTTGTATATTCAACAAATCCTTGAGTGTTATTTCTTGGGCTTGGGTTTTGGCTGGGCCTTGAGCAAGACAGTCCTGTATTTCTCAGTCTGGTAGACATCAGACTCAATGGTTTCGCTGGAGTTGTTCAGTGTTACATATACATCCCCGTTGACCTCAGTGACCTTGTGAATCCTCTGTTTGACTCCCTTGGAGCACCAGTGAGTTCTCAGGGGTTTGGCTGTAGGATCGTCCACAGCTTGGTAAAGCCCTTCCCCTTCTGCTAGTGTGATCTTGTACTTGTGCCATGGGCACACGATGCACAGCCGCCCATTAAACTCCTAATGATGAAGGTGATTAGATTACAGCTGTAGTTGCAGTCTTACAAGAAAACTTCATATTTACCAGCTATTTTATACACAACAAAGCCTGAACAAAAGTTTAACAAGCTGACAAAAAAGGATTACAGGTATTAAGAGTCATGCATAAGTATTTAGAGTGACTGTGTGTCAAATAGCGCCTGACATATTAATATATATATTTTAGTCAACAGTCAGAGAAAATAATAGGCAACTCACCTCAATGTCTCCATACTGTAATGCACCACCTGAATCTGACAGTAGAAAAACAAATGTCATTATACACAGCAGTTTCTTAATCAGTGTTTCAAATGTGATGAGGCATTGCTGAGACTAACTTCACACTTAATAACTCACACTTGAAAACATTACAAACGTCAAAAGCTGTAGTTTTATGTGTTAACTTTAGTGTTGACACAAATAACAACCACACACTCCGAGCTTACGGTAGCAGCGCATGTCCATTGCATGAAGCTGCCCCTGGTGGTACAGGACCAGTACGTCTCTGCATCCATTCACCAGCTTGGTCACGCGCCCCGCCTTGACAATGTCCTCCTTCTTCCCGATGAAGTGTGAGGCAGAAGGAGTTGGTGAGGAGGAGGAGGAGGAGGAAGAGGAGGAAGTCTGAGAAGTCTCTCCTTCAGAAGACATCTTGATCATTTCTTACTGCAAGTTTCCTGTTAATTAATGATATCATAGTTTAAAAGCAATTTTTATGTTAGAAGATTGAAGAATTATTAATAGCAAAATAGATACATGGAAATGAATACTGGTATTAAGTAGATCTGTTAATAATTCACACTGTGGCACAGACTTAAAACTTGATTAAGGAAATTAAGTAAGAGAAGGACGTGATTAAAATGTTCCCAAGGCATACAGTTAAGTATCTGCTAAATCAGACATTTTCTCCCACAGTTGATCAATTTATACATGTTGTGTCTGTACCAGACACTGTACTAAGATGCAGACCTGTGAAACCTGTTGGTTATACATTGATTGATGTTCCAGATGTGTCAGTGCCTTTAATTTTCTCTGCTTTTACATTGAGTGAACAGATGACATGTTGCATGATTATTCATCTAAAAAATAAGGAAGCAGGAGTAAAAACGTTTATCCAAATTACATGTGAGACACTGAGATGGGAGGGGGTAGGGGGGTATTTTTTTTATAAGTAAAACAGATTATCAGTGGGGTAGAAAAGGTTCTGTACAATCTCACATTCAAAACCAAAACAGAAAGCACAAACAGAAACACATACTATTCATGAACAGCAGTTTCTCTTTGTTTCAGCTCTTATTCTTAACTTCCCAGTCTAAACATTAAACTCACCTTTGAACGTAGTCTGGTTACATCTCTGACTGGTCTGGTAGCATGGCAACTGTTTGCTGAATATGCTAATTTGGTCACACGTCCTGGGCGGGACGTAAGACTTTATCTCGCTAAAATTACACACAGAAATGCGCAAATGCTTTATCAGGCCTTCAACATTAATTTGGACATGTGTCAAATTCTAAAATGCAAATGAAACTTCGTCAGCGTTTCAAGAAAGCCTTTTCCGTTTGAACAAGTAGAAATGTTATGAGTTACATCCACAGTTGTCCCCAGTGAAACACAGACTGATGAACAAGATTCCATGTTCTCCTTTTTTGTTCATTGCGAACAGAGAATATGCCAAGTGTGCACAAAGTATGCATGCATTCACTATTACGATATATGATATTCATTTACGGTATATAATATATAGCCTGTCAGTATACTGTATAGTGGATTATGGAAGAAAAACACAAAACACTATATAACTATATAATAGCTATAGATTGTGTAAAACAACCTCAGTAACAACAATAATAATTCCTGTATTTCATCATTCATAAACACACATTACACACTATCAGTGGTCCATTTTTCAGCTCTCAGCACGTAACGCCAGTGGGGCAAATGTCTAATTGGGTTACTCTGAGAAGGCTTTTTGTCTTAGTAGGTTTGTTGGTGGGCATTAAGCCCTCTGGGGGATTATCTTTGTCCTTTATGCTGATCTGAGCGTAATTTGACCGGCTGCCCTTCTGAAGTTCTGCATTCAGCTCTTATTAAATGTCTTAATTTCTGCCATTCGTAGGTCTGCAAGTCCGGCTCAACTGGAGTATGTGCACTTACAGCGAGAAACCGTTTTCGTCGTTATGGTGACCCACTGTGTACGGAAATGGTGATACTACTAGCAACTTTCTGAAAAATTAATGCATTTTGTCATTTCACTTTGCTCGTTCAGAGAAACGGTCACCGTCCGTCCAATTGCTTTTTGCTGCAAAAAAAGGGAAAAAGTCAGCAGTGAATCTGGTAAGTTTTCTGTTGATTTTTACCTTTTAGAAAAATGTTACAATTAGCCAATTCGTATATAAAAACTATTACTTACTTACTTCTTATTTAGCAAATGTGTTAACTTAACACTGTTTGATTTTGGCAGTCATTTTAAAACCTCAACTACTTTATTTTGGAGTATAAGTTAATTTTAGCATCACACTTGGACAGGTGTCAACAACATACTTCCTATTCAGTTCATGCTCTGCAGCCATACATGTCATTTGAACTTCCATTTCTGTATTTCAGTTTGCATTGAATAACTGTAACAGAAAGAAGTTGAACTCCCAACAGGGATTCAATGTAGGGACTGGGCCTCAGCCTGAAGGAAATATGGATATATATCACTTGCCCTTGCTCTGAGTGACATGATTTGAAGTACTGGACTGTTTCATAAGCACAGTAATGAACAGCACTCTCACCTTTTGTATGTATATGAAGCGGGTCTCACCCAAGTGCCATATGGCAGGAATATTACAGCTGCAGAAGCCAATGAAGCAACAGTTGCTTGCCTGTGTCTGCTATATTTATCATATTTGCTATGATACAGAAATATGTGACATGACTGCACTGTGCTGCCTTGGCTCCATCCTGACCAAGTGTCAAATTTCAGCATCATACCAGTGTCCTGTGCTTTGCTTACCACCACGAGAGAGGCAGTGTGGTAGTAATGACACAGTGACTGATCACTGGTCATCAGTCTCTGACAGAAATCACTGAGGGAAGGATAACAGAAAGGACACACTGGCTTCGAAAAAGTGGTGTGGCTAGTAGAGAGCTTGTGTAGTGTGTATTTTGTAGTTTTAGTTTTTGAGTTATTTTCTGTGTAAGTTTAGCATGTAATCATAGAATTATGTCACTTTTTGCAAACCTTTTATTTTTTGTGACCAACTGATAAAGGGACTAAACTGAGATTTCTGCCATTCTCAGGGTAGGAGGAGTGAAATAAAAGAAAAACAG